AAAAAAAAGAATGATTTAGTTAAAATTCAGCCACATACAACAGAATTAAGTGGCGATAATATTCTATAAATAACATTTTAACTAAACAAGAAAGTCAGACAACAGTCGTGCAGAAATTCGGGCAACAATACACCGTCGTACACCGCAATACACAGTGGAAACAAAAAGTAAACATTTGAACATATGATTTTATGTCTATATGCAATTACTCGAACAATCTGCTTGCGCATGAAAAAAAGTGAATCGGCCTTATTTGGCGAAGCAGTGATGAACAAGACAAAAGCAAATGACGAAATTATTGATCGCCACTTTCGAATGAAAAAAACCGGCACAAGAACATCAGTCGTTCATCAGCATTCAAGTTGTTGCGACGAAAAGTCAAGTTTTCTTTAAAACGTAAAAAATGAGTTCTCGTCCACGCCGTAAATCTGTAGCCAATCGAAAATCTTTGGCTGAATCCTCGGACGAGGACGAAAGCGCTAGAAAAACATTCGATAAAAGTAACGATGAACATTACAACGAAACACAAACAGGCAAACAACGAAATAAGCGTATGAATACGGAAGATGAAGAAAATTTTATTAAATTGTGTCTTGAAAAATTCGAAGCAATCAATGAAAAATAAACAATTCGTGGAACACCAACATCAGCAAATGCAAAAGCCGCACGCGAAAAGTACAATATCGCATGGAAAAAAATCACAGAATCGATGAACGAGGCAACGCATGTATGTAATATTGTTGATAATTTTATTCAATTTGATTCGAATTGTGACTGTGATTTAATTTGTTGATAAATTGCCAGGAAGACAGAGACACTGCTTTCCATCAAAAAAAAATTCAAAAATGTGAAGGAGGGTGCAAGAAAACGACAGCAATTAATCAGAAAGCAGAAAATACCAGGTGGCGGCCGTTTAACAACACAAGAACTTCGTGTTATTGAGTCACCCGTGTTTACTGAATTGGCGTTAAAATTAGGGGTTTCAGCACTCGGAAACAGTCCACGTGCAGATAGTGATTCTACCGGTTCGAGCAATCAACCAACTAAACGCCTTCAGCGCATTAGTCAACATGGTTGGTGTTTGTGTAGTTTACATATACATTGTTTTATTTCAAATGTTTAACAATTATGAACGATTTAGCTGTGAATTATAAATTCAATCAGTGCGATTTTTAAAAGCGGCTTTAATTTTTACTTTTCCGCACACGAAGTGTGTGAGAAAAGTATAGCGATCGACGTGATAAAAAGTGTGCTAATTTGTGTTGTGTCCACGATAACTTTCGAACCGCTCAAGCGATTTCGCTCAAATTTGGCCAGGAGTCACAATTAGTAAATATATTGGATGTATAAAAGTTGGGCCAAATTTGACCAGTTCATCTGGTACTTTTGGGACATCATAGAAAATCACCCAAGGGTC